CTACTCTACTCTACTCTACTCTACTCTACTCTACTCTACTCTACTCTTGTTCCTGTTCCATTCCATTCCATTCCACTCTACTCATTTCATCAGATTCATTTCATCAGAGTAGCTCATCCGATGTAAGGAGGAAGAGATATAGAGTGGTTTTGCTGATGCAAGACTGTGTAATTTATTAGCCATTTAATATGTCCAGAACAGGCCGTTCTTGTTGAGTCCTTCCGAAACAGCCTAAATGGTGCATGCAAATTCGACCATTTCTCGCTCAATGGTGCTGTAAATTTCCAATGTGGTCACCCGTGGAAAGTACAGCCTCTTCTCTTTTGTGCTCTGTTCCACCTTATTTAAATCCTGCATCAGCCAAGCCATGTTGTGGCCGCAGCTCATAAAACCTTTGGCCTTTGAACCCCAGGTGCTCCTCCACTTACAGCCATTTGTTTAGGGACCTTCCGAAATCGTAAGGGCGCTGAAAAAAGCGACCTGTGACCGTGTTTCAGACTTACGAGCATTGCAGCCTCCCCGTGGCCACGTGATCAAAATTCAGACGCTTGGCAACTGTCTCATATTTATGACCCATTGCAGTATCCTGGAGGTCACATGATCCCCTTTTGCTCAAGGTTGACTCAGCCTTCCATCCTTCCGAGGTCGGTAAAATGAGGAGCCAGATTGTTGGGGGCAAGAGGCTGGCTCTGTAAACCGCTTAGAAAGGACTGTAAAGCACTGTGAAGCGGTATGTAAGTCTAAGTGCTATTGCTATAATCAGTTCAGAAATTGCTTCCTTGCCAGCATGGCTGTTTGCCCTCCTGGACTGCCATCAGTCAACAATGATGTAGGGTCTCCTGCTTGGGTGGGGGGGAGGGGGGTGGACTAGTTGACCTAATAGGTCCCTTCCAACTCCGTCATTCTGTCCTGCTCCTCTTCCCCTTAAATTCTGGATTAATTGCATCTCGTTCTTTTAGCGTTTTCTTGATTTCAGCAGCTTCAGGTCAAGCTGCCCTTTGGCAATTGACCAATGGGGATTTTTTGGGTCAATGCTGATGGAATTCAAGTGACGCTCCAGATATTGTTGGATTTGCACCCGAAGCATCTTTCATTTATTTATTGGATGGATGGATGGATGTAATAAAGCCAAACCCTCTCAATTTAGATGTACAGCTAGTCCTTGACTTACAACCGCTCCTGAAAGGTGATTTAGGACCTTTTCCACACTTATGACCGTTGCAACATCCTCATAGGAACACGATCAAAATTCAAATGGCAACTGACTCACATTTATGGCGGTTGCGTTGGCCCGGGTCACATGATCCCCTTTTGCAACCCTCTGACAAGGAAAGTAAACGGGGTGGGAGAGCCAGATTCACTTACTCACTGAACAACTGAAGTGATTCACTTAACAACTGTGGCAGGAAAGGTTGCAAACTGCGGGGAAAACTCACGTAACAATTGTCTTGCTCAGCAACAGAAAATGTGGACTCCATTGTGGCAGCAGCCAAAAAAGCCAATGCAATCCTAAGTTGCATTAACAGAGGGATACAATCGAGATCAAGGGAGGTACTAATACCACTCTATAAAGCCTTAGTAAGACCATACCTAGAGTACTGCATCCAGTTTTGGTCACCACACTATAAAAAAGATGTTGAGATTCTAGAAAAAGTGCAGAGAAGAGCAACCAGGATGATTAGGGGACTGGAGGCTAAAACATACGATGAACGGTTGCAGGAACTGGGCCTGGCTAGTCTAGTAAAGAGAAGGACCAGGGGAGACATGATAGTAGTCTTCCAATATTTGAGGGGCTGCCACAGAGAGGAGGGAGTCAAATTATTTTCTTTCTTTTTTAAAATAATTTTTATTATTTTCCACCAGTACAAATCTTAATACTTTTTCAACAACATTGACATCCACATATAATATTGTCTTATACTTTAACACCTATTCGTACCTATTTTAATCTATGTTATTTTTGTTTATCATTAATCGATACATATATTAATTGATACATATATTATAGTTATTATTATACATCTTTCATATTGTCTTTAACATCTATTCATACCTATATTTAATACATATATTACACTTATTATTATACATCTTTGATCTTTCTGTCTATCCCTATTATATCTTGTGTATCACGCTATTTACTAAAGCACCCGAAGGCCAGACAAGGAATAAAGGATGGAAACTTAACAAGGAGAAATTCAACCTGGAAACAAGGAGAAACTTTCTGACAGTGAGAACAATCAACCCATGGAACAGAAGTTGTCTTCAGAAGTTGTAGGAGCTTCAACAGTTGAGACTTTCAAGAAGAGACTGGACTGCCATTTGTCAGAAATGGTGTAGGGTCTCCCGCTTGGGCAGTGGGTTGGACTAGATGACCTACAAGGTCCCTTCCAACTCTGATTATCTGTTATCTGTGGTTGTAAGTCGAAGACTACCTGTACATATGTGAGCCAGGAGGAGGGGTGAGAATAACAGATAATCAGAGTTGGAAGGGACTGTGTAGGTCATCTAGTCCAACCCCCCTGCCGCCACCCAAGCAGGAGACCCTACACCATTTCTGACAAATGGCAGTCCAATCTCTTCCTTGAAAGTGGACGAACCTCTGTTTCTTTATTATAAAATCCCCAAAAAGGAAACTGAATTTAGTTGTAACCACAATTGTCTGCGATAAGATGACGAGGCATTTTAACGTATGTGGGTTGTGACAAATGTTCTCTACGGGACGTTTAGCCTGTAAAGCGCCATTTGAATCTTTTTGATGTGCGCAGGAAACCTGCTTGCAAATCTTTTCCTGCTTTGAGAGAAAAAAAGGTAGTAATTATGGCGTTTTCTCTTTCTTGCTTCCCTGCCTTAGAATTGTAAGAAGAGGAAATTTCCATTGTGCGAAGAGTCTGCCCAGCTACAGACCATCGTGAATTTCTGGGAAAGTGAATCGATTTGACGACCTTTTCAAGAAAATGCAAAATATGTGCCAGGTAATCAATGTAAATTTTAAAAAAAATATTATTTCCAATGTTGAGTGAATGATCAGGTGTTTAGGGTAATGTTAACTGACTTGTATTTATGACGGTGGCAGTGTCCCAGGGTCACGTAATTGATTCCCCTTTTGGGACCTTCTGTTGAGCGTAGTCCATGGGGAAGACAGATTCTGCTAACAACCACGTTACTCATTGAACAACTGCAGCGATTCACAGTACAACGGTGGCAAGAAAGATCGTAAAACAGGGCAAAACTCACTTAATAGCGATCTTGCTTAGCCATGGGAATTTTGGGCTCAGTGGTGGATGTAAGTCGAGGACTAGCTGTGTCTGGGAATCTGCGTGTCAACTCGTAAAATATTTCTATGGTCCTTTTAGAGTTGCCAGCAGAAAGGGACAGGGGAGCAGTGCAGCAGTTTGCAAACCGAAATTGCATTTCATAAATGTTTTCAAAGATAGTAACTAGGTGACCGAAGTTTCTGCCCCGCAAAATTCTACCAGGAGAGCATGATTGAGGACTCTTGGCTATGGAGGTGTCCCATTGGAGGATATGAATTATGATACACCCAGGGGGTGGGGGGGAAACCAGGGTCAAGGGTGACAATGAATTATGTGTCTCAGAGTCGGCTACACCCAGGCAGTGCCGGCATGTTAACTCCCAATAAATCCTTTTGAAGTTTTGGAAGTTTGGCTTGAGACTCGTGATTTCAATGGGGGGTAAATGCCGGAATCCTGACACTCTGCTAACCTGCCTTCCTTTCTCTCCCCCCCGGCCACTAGTGGGCGATTTTGAGCATCTTGCTCTGGAGTCCTCTGACCCATGCTTCCCCGCCCACCTTCGAGTGGAAAGACCCCAACACCGACGAGAAGCTGTTGTGCGAGAAGTGCCCCCCGGGGATGAGCATGGCCAAGCCTTGCACCCGTAACGTGGGCACCCAGTGCAAGCCGTGTGCCAACGAGCACTACACCCAGTATTGGAACTACGTGGACAGGTGCCTGTACTGCAACGTCCGTTGTAACATCCTGGAGGTGGAGGTGGGGTCGTGCAACAGGACGCACAACAGGGTGTGCGAATGCAAGCCGGGCTACCACGCCGAGTCGCTCTTTTGCATCAAGCACTCCAAGTGCCCGTCAGGAAGCGGAGTGGTTGAGCCCGGTACGTACCAGGGGAGGAAAACGGCAACCTATTCCTGGTGTGTGTGTGTGTGTGTGTGTGTGTGTGTGTGAACTGGAATTGAGCAGGAACAAGCTGACATCTCTTTAAAATTTGGAGGGGTGGGAAGTCTGAAGGATCAACCCTTCAAATCGGTGTTTGTCACTCTCAGCAATTTTAAGATATATGACTCCTCCCTCCCTCCCTCCTTCCCTCCTTCCTTCCTCCCTCCCTTTTCTTTCTTTCTTTCTTTCTCTCTCCCTCTTCCTTCCTTCCTTCCTTCCTTCCTTCCTTCCCTCCCTCCCTCCCTCCCTCCCTCCCTCCCTCCCTCCCTCCCTCCTTCCTTCCTTCCTTCCTTCCTTCCTTCCTTCCTTCCTTCCT